TTGGTATTAGTCAATATTGATATTGGCGTCGGTGGTAATGGTGTTGTTACATTCCTAGCTCTGAATTTTTATCTGAATGACAAATCATTTTTTAACAATTGTAAAAAGAAAAGAATATTCTTTAAAGACATCTGACTATCCTTTTTCCTTTATATGTGTGAGATAATGTCAGTTTCTATTATTTATTAGTTTAATTTGCTTATGTATTATTTTCCTCAAAGCTCAAATTTAATTCTGATCTATTTGTGTTGTTGCATAATTATCGTTAGATTTTACCTTTTCATGTTTCTGTCTTTCTCACACTCTCTCTACTCTCTCCTCTCCTCCATAGTCTTTCTCTCAAATCAGTTAATTTTCTCTTCTATCTCGCTTTCTCTCTCAGAATTTCCTTCTTTCCCTCTCTATTCTCTCTTTTCACCCTCAGTATGATCCCTCCTTTCTCTCTCTTCATCCTCACTATGACCTCCCCTTTCTCTCTTCCTTCACCATCATAATGACTCCTCCTCCCCCCTTGTTCTCTCTCCCTGCACTTTCATTATTGTCCCCTTCTTTTATCTCTCTCTTCATTCTCAGTATGCCTCTCCCTTCACCCTCAGATATATGCAAACCTGGTTAACTCGGTAATTTGAACCAAAAGTCGTTAAGTCGTTACGAGTCTACGAGTTTTACATATATGGATTGTTCTTGGTGCTGAGCATTCACGTGGTGAACAATCATTGTTGTTATGTTCGAAGTGTTCCCCTTCGAACATAAGACAGAACAAAAAGAATGATGAGTACTCCTTTCTAGTACAGCGGTTAATACGACTGCCCGGAAAGCAGAAGATGCATGGTTCGATTCCATGCGAAGGAAGATTATTCTTTTGTTCTGTTCTGTGATCATACCGTCACGTTGCTATCTCGGTGATAACAAAGTAAGAAAAGAGAGACGACATAACAATTGTACTGATTACTCCGTGTGTTGAACATTTCTCTGCTGAAAGCTCCGTGCTGAATATTCCGATTCCCGTACATATTGAATTGTATATTTTGTTCTTTTTTCTCTTCAGTTCTATTTTGTTCATCTCTCTGTTATTTCTGTTAATTTTCTCATTTGTTTCGATAGATTATCCATTCAAACATCTATTCTTTGTACGATCCAATCGGGCATTCTATAGGTGTTTCGACGCGTCGATTTTAACTTCCGATGAGCATCAAAATTCTATATCGAACAATCGAGTTCCTACTTTTCGATAGATCGAGGGCTCGACGATAGGTTATTTCTATGCTCAGCCTCCGATCACACGAACGCTTATTTCTGAGTCAGTCAAAATTCGAACAGAATAAAAAAGATTTTGTCCCATAGATACCTTCCTCTTGAGCTGTTGAAACCTATCGCATGAACATGCAGGAGAAGATTGGAACATGTGTACTTATGATTCAGTTTTGTCGAATATCTAAACGACATATGAACTGATATTCTTCTGTACAATATTTTGTCATGCTCATACATACCATTTGATAGAGGAAAGGAAGTGGGTGTGAGCGTGAGTGTTAATCTTCAATTTATCAACACCTACACCCACCCATACCCCACCCCATCCCACACCCACACTTACGCACACCCAACATCCCACCCCTAGTGTAAGTCAAATTATTTGCTCTTTCTCTCCTACACTAAGCTTCAAAGAGAAGCCAAGTGTGTATTAGTATATGTGTTCGAGTATACTTTATCCAACTATGAAATCGGATTTGTCAATATTACTATTACGTTTAAGAAAAAAGATTGTTTGTTGAAAATAGTCAATTTTTGCCTGTGGAAAATTATAAAATCAATATTGTTATTTCGCTGTTCGTGTATCAAGAGGATTTGAATGTTGATTAAAAGTCACATATACAAATAGAAGAACTCCTGTTGAGTATTTTCATTACAACAAGTTTGAAAAATCGTTTAAATTTGAATTTAAAACAAAATGTTACTGGTCAAGCCAAAATAGCTGAAAAAAGTCTTCTAA